ATTCACCCAGTTTTCCATTGTAGTTTGTTGAAGCCTTATCGGGGCTCCACTTTGAGACCTCCTCCAAAGAAGGCACCTGGACCCCTCGTAGTGGCAGGGCAGACCCACTATGAAGTGAAACGTATTCTTGACTCCAGAATCTTTAGAGGGAAATTACAGTACTTAGTACAATGGAAGGGATACCCATTGTCTGAAGCCACCTGGGTGAAATCTAGTGAAGTGAACGCCAACAGATTGATCGAAAGGTTTCATGTGAAACACCCCAGCAAACCGAAAGATAACACTTAACATATGCTTTTGTTTACTTTATAGGATCTGTCCTTCTTGTAAGGGGGGCCGGATGTCAATGCTGCAAATACTGTATATTCTTGCTTTGACAATATGCAAAACTGTCTGGTATTTATTGGGTTAATACTTAGCTTAGACTGGGGGGGGAAAGCCCGGGAAAGAAAGAGGAAGTAAACTTTTGACCTTCTCACTAATTGGATAATGTAACCTGTGACTGCATGAGAAGGGAGGGGTTTAGCAAGGAAAGCTTGATGCCAGTGAAAGGAAGTTCAGATTCTGGCATCAACCCGTCCATCATGGTGACCGGCAAAACTGTAGCTCTGCAATAAAGATTTTAGGAAACATGCCTGAAAGTTCTTTGAAGTGCTTCATTAGTCGGAACATGTGACATGTACCTTCCAAGTATTGAGTTGAATCTTCCAAACTCCTTATAATGAATATACTTGTATTTGTGGAGTTCCAGAAATAGAAGATGTAATACATCTATTATTTTGAATGACAATTATTTAAGAAAGAGGGAGATCAATATCTTGGATTGCACTTTAGAGAAACAGTCTATTGGGATCCCAATATTTTAAAAATGTATTTCCTCTGTGCTCAGAATTCAAAAAATTATATATAATAAAGCCCATTTCAGAAGGAAACTATGGTCTGATTGTGGTAAATTCTGGGGTTATAAAGAAATACTCTTTTCACTCCTTATGTTTATTCTATTGTACATTTTTCTAAATTTTATTTTTACATGCAGTCTTCTTAATGTTCCATATTTTATATTCTGCATCTTGATATGGCTTAATGATTAATCAACAGAAAAAGTTCTAATACTGTATGTGCATGAGAAAAAAGTTCGGTTAATTAAAAGCTAAAAATTGGGACTTGGTAACAGCCCAAATATCACACAGAATTCTTCATTGTTTTTTTCAGGTCAGTGTGAGAATTGCTTCCGAGGCTCTGAGTGATAAAAGTCAATTCCCTTTTTTCCATCCGATGCTCCCCAAAGAAGGGATCCAGTATCCAGCAATTGTCCAAATTCTCCTCCATTTTGGATGGACTTTGATTGGTCTCTTTGCAACAGACACAGAGAAGGGAGAGAATTTCATGAGGACTTTTACTCCTACGCTTGTCAAGAATAGAATTTGTGTTGTTATATCACAACGATTCTCAATGACTGGACATACCACATTCCTCAGGGATGCCCTCTCTAAGTGGAGACAAGTCAACGTCTTCGTTCACTTCATGGAATTTGTCTCCCCTTGGGACACAATTCTTCCCTTCCATTCAGCACTTGAAGGTTTGCCTGGACCCATTGAAGGGAAAGTCTGGATCATGACAGTGTCTGGATTATTTCCACTGAAAAAAGATTGGCGTCTCAAGCATGTCCATAGTATTTGGAGCTTTCCCTTTCAGTATAAAAAGAGTTGGGAAAACGATAATACCTTTAAAACAGATTTCTTTGTGGAACCTGAATTTGAAGCTGAGTATTTTCACTGTTCTGTTTCAAAACACATCTTTTCTGTCAAAGGCTGGAGAAAATGCACCCAGAAAGCACCAGTGGAGACCCAAAACAAAAAGAATAGGATACGGGTCACAAATGGCGGTGTTACGTATAGCATCATTAAGATTCTGGCCCACGCCTTAAGTGCTGCATCCAAACCTCAGAGGAGAAGGAAGAAGGGAGAAGAGATGTTGGGGGCTCCAAGGCTGCAGCCGTGGAAGGTATGGGGTCCCAACAAGGATCCATCAAACTAAATTCCTTTTCAGGGTCTTTTGTGCTCTCTGGGCTTGGTGGTTTAAGATCTTAAGTTTCTGTACAACATCTCCTACTTATCGGAAGAGTGTTGCATCCTCCCTTCAACAATCAAGACCTTTTCTAGATTCGAAAAATAGTTCCCAGACTTTTTCTGATTTTAAGCTCCTGTAAACTAGGACAAGAAACAATGGTTGAAAACTGATCAAAGAGAGAAGCAACTTGGAATTAAGGAGAAAATTCCTAACAGTGAGGACAATTAACCAGTGGAACAGCTTGCCTTCAGAAATCGTGGGTGCTAAATTACTGGAGATTTTAAAGAAGAGACTAGACAGTCACTTAATAATAATAATAATAATAATAATAATAATAATAAAGTTGGAAGGCACTTAGGAGGTCATCTAGTCCAACTTTAACAGAGGGATAGAATCAAGATCATGTGAAGTATTAATACCACTCTTCAATGCCTTGGTAAGGCCACACTTGGAATACTGCATCCAGTTTTGGTCACCACGATGTAAAAAAGATGTTGAGACTCTAGAAAGAGTACAGAGAAGAGCAACAAAGATGATTAGGGGACTGGAGGCTAAAACATATAAGGAACGGTTGCGAGAATTGGGTATGTCTAGTTTAACGAAGAGAAGGACAAGGGGGGACATGATAGCAGTATTCCAATATCTCAGGGGCTGCCATAAAGAAGAGGGAATTAAGCTATTTTCCAAAGCACCTGAAGGCAGGACAAGAAGCAACGGGTGGAAACTAATCAAGGAGAGAAGCAACCTAGAACTAAGGAGAAACTTCCTGACAGTGAGAACAATTAATCAGTGGAACAGCTTGCCTCCAGAAGCAGTAAATGCTCCAACACTGGAAGTTTTTAAGAAGAGACTGGACAGCCACTTGTCCGAAATGGTGTAGGGTTTCCTGCCCCAGCAGGGGGTTGGACTAGATGACCTCCAAGGTCCCTTCCAACTTTACTACTATTATTATTATTAACTTGTCTGAGAAGGTATAGGTTCTCCTGCTTGAGCAGGGGGCTGGACTAGAAGACCTCCAAGGTCCCTTCCATCTCTATTCTGTTCTATTCTGTTGTGTTCTGTTCTGTTCTATTCTATTCCAACATGGCTCTTCTGCCTGCTGTCTTTCCTCAAGGCTTAAAGCAGCTCCTTTGATCTCTTTCTTCCCTTCTTTGTCCTTGATTAAAGCTGATGAAAATTTTGTGCAGTGTCTTCTCCAAGTGTGATGCCTGCAAAGGACCTGGTATCATTCCACTAGATCATTAATGACATTATCGACAAATTAATAATATGATTATTAAAATATCATTAAAATATTACTACTATTTTATTCTAATCAGTAACCATTGTACACATAGAATAATGTGAGAAAAACTACAATGAAATATTAATACAGATTATAGCTGCCATTCATTAAATTCATACAATCATGTATCAAGTCCTGCATGCTAACAATTAGTTAGTTTCCTACTGAATTTTACTCATACATTTCTAACACAAAATCATATTTTTATTTTCTGGAAGCTGTAAGGCTTGGCCTCAGCTGAATCTCTCAGGAAAGCAGAACTCTTGAAACTGGCATCGTTTCAAGAGGAACTTTTATTGAGAGTCAGTGACAGCAAGAGAAGGTAGGCAGAATCTGAATTGTTAGGCTAAACCCCATTGTTCAAAACCCCTCCCAACTGCCCAGTCCATAGGAGTCAATCCACGGGTGCAAAGAGGTTGTGAGAACTCCAGACGGAAACTGCAGTAAGAGGTTCCCAGGCATCTCTTCCTTGGTGAGGGGAGGCAGATGACCTCAGGCAGTGGAACCGAGTCAACAAAGCAAAGCTAAACACATCACAGGAGAGCTCCAAAGGTCTCCCCTCCCATCAAGATGGCAGCATCCTGACAGGCATCTATAGGGACCTGAGAGAAGCTGGGGATTTTTAAAGGAGACCAAAATAACTTTGTCCAAGTATTATTATAATTTTATCTACTTCCTTTATTAATGAAAATATAGAAGAAACAATGACCAAGGTCTAATTGTTTTTCATAACTCCCCAATTTTATCTGTAATATTAGTATTTATTGGAGTATAATTTTTGAGACAGTTTTCTCCACTTAATTATCTCATACCATCCAGCACTCAATTAACTAGATCCCCATTCATCACATCATGAAGCATTTTGTTAATGCTTTGCTAAAAACAAGTTATACTACCAGCATTCACACAATCTGTTAAGGAAGTATAACGATATGTGTGAATGAGTTCAAAGGATCAGAAAAAGAGATCCAGGGAAGGATCAGATAAGATGGTTTGGGGGAGCAATGCACAGCTGCATAACAGGCAGAGAAAGAAACTCAGAAATAGTCCTCCCTAAATGTTTTTAGGGAGATGGTGAAAGATTTGTACTTTTACATTGCAAGATTTTGTTAATATTGCCTTACAACAAAATAGAATTCCTTCATCTGGTCATTTTTCCTATCTCCTCTACCTGAATGAAGATTAGCCTTGCAACTTTTTTCTTAACAAATCCTTGCTTTCTGGTAATTACCCTATTGTTTGCAAGGAGTTTATGAATATTCTAGTTATTTGTGTATTTTGTTTACTTGATTGATGACCGTTGCTAGATTGTTTTATATGGTTGATCATTTTTGTCTATTACATTTTGTCAATATACATTTTACCAGTATACTACATGATTTAGAAATATTGCTGAATCTTTGTACTTCAATTTTAAAGATAATGGTAACAATTGTTCTCCCAACTCACAATATTTGCAAGTTAAAAAAACCATAGAAGGAAGATTCAAATGTAAAAAGTGATAACAAATAAGAAACCAAAATTTCTGCTTTTAAATTCCTGGATGTTTCCATTCTAGTTCCATCCATTTCTAAAGAAGAGGGAGTTGTACAATCTTTCCCTGCTGAAAGTGTACTTGGATCAGAATGGAGACGTAGCAGCAGATCTGATGATCTTTAGCCTGGTAGTTCTCCCCAAGAAGGTTCCCATCGACAAGCGAATGGGGAGTTTTGAAAGACAGAGACTTACAATCAACCAAAATGCTTTGTCACAGTTAAAGTTGCTCAACAAGGTGGGGAAAATATTGATGTCTTTTCTCTTTTTTCCAAAACCATTTCAAATGGGATAAGCCCAGCCAAAAAAGTGGGTAACCTTCACTGAGAATTGAATGTGTGGAGTAAAACCTCTATAATTTTCTTAGGCAGATAAGCATGCTTCAGTTCTATTGACCAAGGTTTTCCTTCTGATGCTGTCATGCTGAACCCTGTTGTAAGCTGATCCAAAATGAGATATGGGGTGATTATTATTTAGGACACACATCATTGCTATTTAGTGTCCCTTTGGCAGTTTAGTATCACCATAAAACTGGTGAGACAGGGCCTCATATGCTTGAGATTTTGGCGTTAATAGCTTCAGGTTCACTAGTTTTTTGCCTTCACATATCAAAGATGAAGGCAATTCTGTTGACCAGTCCCTGAGTTCAGATTTGGACTGAATCCAATGAAATGGAATCAAGACTGGATGAAGGTCCCATTGGTCCAATTGTTAAATAAGCTTCATCTTGCCTTGATTGGAGACAGGGGTCTCCCAAAATTGCAGGTTCATAGTCTGGGATGTTTCTAATCAGCTGAAAACATGCTTATAGTTGCCTCTCTCTAACCCCACTGGGATAGTGGAATTTAGGAAGGAGGTACAAAGCTTCAGTTCACATGAAATAATAATGACTGATATGATATGAGCTCATTTATGGATTGATTGATTAAATTTATTTGCTGCCCATCTCACTATTGATAGTGGTTTGAAAATTGAAGTACTGAAGCATCGCTTTGGTGCAAATAAATCTTGATATCAGAAATAATAAGGGACAATTTCGAGGGAAATCTTACTTAGATTTGGGCACTGGCTTGTAAGAGTGCACTTCATCTGAAAATCCCTTGAATGCAACTGTTTATCTTGATTGTTAGCTGCCTTAGGACACACCAAGAAGCTACAAATCAAATTAATAAATATGAATGTGTATTTCCCTGTCACCTAATTGTATTCTTTCAACAGAAAGGATTTTGTGTTGAGTATCCATTTCCCACACAGGGTTCACACTCATGACCCATGTGGTACACCAAAAGATGCCTGACTCACCCTTTTTGAAGGACACGTTCTCATGACCTCACCTCCATCTCACCTCACTAGTTTTAGAAACTAGTCAGCCAGTTTTAGTTTTAGTTCACCAGCATGGCAAATATATATATACAAACACCCGTGAAAACCTCAGAAAATATATATATATGTTTTATATATATATAAATGAAGAATATCTTTAAGGTTGACAGCCCTTCTCTGTAAAAGAATTTTCCTTTTTATCTTAACTGGGAGATAATTTTGGATGGCTTTCAAAGGGAAGCAGCTTTGAAATATTTTCTGCACTCCAGAACAATCCTTTCCATAACCTACTGGTCAAAAGTTTCTTTCTTAATCACAATTTTCTTCTACTTCAATAAATCCAATGAAATAAAAATTTAATAACGTTTAACAATAAAGTTTATTCTAAAATTTAGTATTTTAGATATTATATTTTAAAATCAAGCATGTATGAAGAATGGAGGAATGCATGTTAATTCCACTATGAGGAGGAACCCACCGGTTGCCACTTAATGCTTAAATGTTTTCTCAATTTCATCCCTCCAAACTTTGTTAAGTAGAAAGCTACTTTATTGTAATCTGATAAATCAGAAGAAAAAGGGAGGAACTGAATGAGGCAATTGTATCTCCTGCCACCATTTGGAAGTGGTCAGAGATTTCATATTTGCCTACATGAAGCGCAGAGATGACTTGGCTGATGTTCATGTCTACCTCCATCTTACGTGGATGGTGAGTCCTGACATATTTTCTTTGGCATTTCTTCTTTTTTCTTTTTAGTCTCTGCCTCCGTCTAAATGTGTGGGAAAATGCCATCCTGGATTTGTCAAGCAAGGTCGAGAAGGAGAGCCAGTTTGCTGCTACGACTGCATTCCTTGTCCAGAGGGGACCATCTCCACTCAGGAAGGTGGGTGACACCACGGGGAAACTTTGATCAATATGTGTGTTGAAGACACATGTAAGTTTGATTGTTTCGTTCTTAATTTTTATGATGTCCAATTTCTTCCCTAAATGGGATTTATAAGAAAAATATCTTGAAGGGTGAGGTAGAAAGAAGGATGTTGTGGATTGCATGGGAAATCTCTCTTTCATTTCCCAGTTTGGATGTTTCCGTCCATATTTATCTTTCTTAGAAATATCTGTATTCTTTGTAACTTGAGGAATGATTTTAGATCAATGGGTTTTGTTTACCTAAATCAACTTTACATTACAGGCTGATAGATATATCTATCAATCATTCATTTAATTAGTTAATCTTGAGTAATATCATATATCCTTATAAGCTGCAATATCTAATTGGGAGGAAAAATAGAGGGAGAGCTGTTGAGTTAAAGGAACAATGTAAACCAAACAGAAGATTCAAGATTCACCTGGAATTTACAAATAGTCCAGAATGCAAAGGCATGCACAGTGTTGAATTTCCATGTGTTCTTCCATAGGACACCCCTACTATGCAGGCTCCACAGAATCCCAGTTTCTTTCCAGGTGCAATTAAATTCAACTTTCAAACCCTCCATGAGACAAAACCAGGGTTTCTGCAGGGCTTCCTCTCCTTGAGGATATCTGCTTCTCCCACCAGAGCATATAATATTTGGCATGCAAATGATCTGTTCCCTTAAAGGATTCCCACTTTATGGATCATCAGAAGCCTTCCTTTTCTGGTGCAGTTCCTGCCTTATTGGACCCACTCCCCCTTGAAATTGAATAGGCCCCCATTCTCTTAAACCTCTGGAGAATTGCTACTTCTCCCAATCATTTGGGATAAGATAAGGTCAGTGCAGGATAAGAATCTGGTGGATTACCTCAGAGAAGGGAGGTTGCAGCACCGGACAGATTTTCTTTTAATTTTATGTTGTTGTTGTTCTTTTTATAGTTGTATGTATTGGGGATTTTTTTGGGCTATTGTAGTGTAAGTATATTCCATTTACTGAGACTTTTCTGTCTCTCTGTATCACATCTTATCCAAAGTTTTTATTGAAATTTGAAAGACTATAAAATAAATATTACATTCTTTTCTCAGATACCACAAAATGTACCAAGTGCCCAGATGACCAATATCCAACTGAGAACCGAGTCCAGTGTATCCGCAAAAGAATAACCTTCCTGTCCTATGAAGAACATCTGAGCATCATCCTCATCTCCTTTGCTCTACTCTTGTTCCTAATCACAGGCTTTGTTTTATTCATATTCATTAAATACCTTGAAACTCCTATTGTCAAAGCCAACAACCGGGACCTCTCCTTCATCCTCCTGGTCTCCCTTCTGCTTTGTTTCTTGTCCTCCTTGTTCTTCATTGGCCGACCAAGGAAAGCCACCTGCCTTCTCCGACAAACAGTGTTCAGCATTGTCTTCTCAGTAGCCGTGTCATCTGTGCTGGCCAAAACAATCACAGTAGTGCTGGCATTCCTAGCCTCAAAACCAGGTAATAAAGTGAGAAGATGTCTGGGGAAGAGCTTGGCCAACTCCATCATCCTTTCTTGTTCTGCTGTCCAAATTCTCATCTGTGCCATGTGGTTGGGAGTTTCTCCCCCATTTCCTGACTCTGATCTGCACTCCCAGCCTGAAGAGATTATCCTTCAATGCAATGAAGGCTCTGTCACCATGTTTTATGTTGTTCTTGGCTACATGGGCTTCCTTGCTACCATTTGCTTCACTGTGGCTTTCCTGGCAAGGAACCTGCCTGGAGCTTTCAATGAAGCCAAGCTGATCACCTTCAGCATGCTGGTCTTCTGCAGTGTCTGGGTTTCCTTCCTCCCCACCTATCTGAGCACTAAAGGAAAATACATGGTGGCCGTGCAGGTCTTCTCCATCTTGGCCTCCGGTGCTGGACTATTGAGCTGCATCTTCTTCCCCAAGTGCTACATTATCATCCTGAGACCAGATCTAAACACTAAGGAACATCTAATGGCAAAATCAGGGGAATGATTGTGAAATTGTTTCTTAGACTGATAACGGCTAATTATCTATTATTATTGGTTATATGTTCTTCCTTTGGATTTGTTTGACAACTTATGTTTATTAAAACTGAAGGAAATAAATATGTGATGTTTGTTAGTTAAATTAAAATAAATAATAAACAAACAGATGAATGAATAAATATTATATTTTTTAAACTATTGGTTTTCATCCTTTTCCTCAGCACACATGTCAACCAATATTTGGCTTAAGCAACTCTTCAAGGCAAGAGATATATGATTCATTTCCTGGGCTTTATAGTGCTATAAGCTTGGCAGATATTTTCAAAGATAATAAGTGAGGTCTGAATCTCATCTCTTTCATGGTTCTTTAGGAATTTGTATTTCCATTCCCCCAAGCTATGGGTTCTATTGGGGAGAAGAGAGTAAGTGAAGATGACATGGTGTTGCAATTCTCTCACCGGTTTTGATGATCCTTCTCTTTCTCCTGAGGTGCTCTTTCTCAGCAATCTTCCTTCATTTCAGTTCTAGATCAAGTTCTATCTTGTTCATGGCTTCCTCCCTAACAGCCTCCAGTTCCAGCTTCTCTGGGCTGAGGTGCTGAACAGACTTTCTGACTTCTGGTGAGGAATTTCTAGTAGCAGACATTTATTTATGGCCTGTAACTTCCTGACAGGTTTGGCATATCAGTATTCAAGTTAATTGGACTGAAGCGGATTGAAGATGAAATTCATCCTGGTCTGGTTTGGGGACTCAGTAGCTCAACCAAGCTGAGGCAGGTACAAGAAGGCCATGGGTCAACTCCCGGATTGAAATGAAAATCAACTTTACTAAAGGTGTTGAAAGAAAATACTGTAAGGTTGGAACAGAACAGAGCAGAAAGAGCAGAGCAGAGCAGAGCAGAGCAGAGCAGAGAAGAGCAGAGCAGAGCAGAACAGAACAGAACAGAACAGAACAGAATAGAATAGAATAGAATTGGAAGGGACCATGCAAGTCTTCTAGTCTAGCCCCCTGATCGAGCAGGAGAATCTATACCATTTCAGACAAGCAACTGTCCAGTCTCCTCTGAAAAATCTCCAGTGATGGAGTGCCCACAACTTCTGGAGGCAAGCTGTTCCACTGTTTAATTGTCCTCACTGTCCAGAAGTTTCTCCTTAGTTCCAAGTTGCTTCTCTCTTTGGTCAGTTTCCAACCATTGTTTCTAGCCTGCCCTCTGGTGCTTTGGAGAATAATTTGACCTGACCCCCCTTCATTGTGGCAGCCCCTCAAATACTGGAATGCTGCTTTCATGTCACCCTATTTCTTTGTTTCTTTAGACTGGCCAGACCTAAGAAAGGAAAACTGGTTGAGAATCATGTGGGGCAGGACTCCAAAAGAAGTGCACACTCCACTGCTGAGCTCTCCCAATTACAAAGTCCCAGAAAATTGCCCCCTTCCCCCATGCAGACCCACCGATTCCACCTCTGGAGGTGGGAGATCCTGCATATTTCTCCCCTCTCTTTTGGGACACTTGTGGGGCAGCATCCTTGGGCTCTGTTGGGCTCTCCCTGAGGCTGCTGCTGGTGGGGGTGCTGGCCCAGATCTCTGGAAGTCAAGGGGGGAAGGAGACCCCTGGTAAGGAGGGGCTCGGGAGGGGGAGGAGAGGGGCTGGGGGAGGATATGGTTGGGAAACACCCCTTAAACTCGTGGGGGGGGAAGAAAGCTGCTGAATCTCCAGATCTCCAGATCTCCCCTGTCATCGTGGCAACCCAACAGCAGCCAATCAGGCAGGAGGGAAGAGACAAGGGTTGCCTGGGAGCTCAGCCACCAGTCAGACTCCTGGAGAAGAGGCTGAATGAGCAAAGACAAAAGGGGGGGAGAGGAAAATATCCAATAAGGAGAGAAAATTAGAGAGTTTTTCCTGTGATGAGAAAGAGGCAGAAACTGCCAGAGATGCAGAGGGAGGGGAGGCTGGAGTCCTGGAAGGGCCTTTCCCCCCACCCAGAAATCCCTGCAATGGAGGGCTTCTCCTCCGGGGGGGCTTGGGCAAGTGGGGGGCAGGGGCTGCCCAGGAGAGCCCGGCCGGAGGGACTTTGGGGGCCAGGAGGGACCCCCAGGATGCCCCTTCCTCAGAGCCCCAGAGGGCCCCTCCAGGGAGACCCCCCGGCCTTTCCCCTCCCCTGCATGGCTTCTCCCCCCCAGGAGCCTTTCCTGGAAAGACACGAAGGGGAACTGGAGCCTCACAAACCCCCCTTGGCTGCGTCTCCCCCTGAAATGCAACTCCAAACCCCATCATCCACTTTCCCAGAATGGGGGGAGTGAAGGGTTCCCCCAGTTCCCCTCCTCCTTCCTGAGCCTTTTCTATGGGCAACGTGACATGTCTGGGCTTTGCTTTCCCCCCTCAGGGCCCCATGTGTAGAAGGGAGTGGCAGTGGAACATAGGTCCTTCCCCTCCCTCTCTTCCTTACGTGGGATGAAAGGCATCCTTTATTTCTCTCATTTCTCTCTCTCTCTCATTCTCTGTACATGGAAGTGATTTTTTTTTAATTATGTCATGTCCTGATGACTAGTTTTTAACTAGCAGATTTTTATTTATTTATTTTATCCTGGTCACACTATTGTATCAGTCTTTTTCTATTGCTGCCCTTCAACATTAACTTTCAAAATAAAGTAAACTTTGTTTTTAACTCAGTAGGAAGCTATTCCAGTTCCGTGACATGTTCAGGCATGAAGTCGTCCCCGGGGTTTTCTCTTTAACCGCTGTGCCCACAAATATCAGCTTTCTTTTTCTTCAGCCACAGGTGCCGTGTATTCCCTCTGGGGCCAATTTCAAGCATGGAGCTTCCCAACCTCTCAATTCTTGCTGAAAGATTTAATTCCAGCTCTGCCCTCTCATTTTGAATCCTCTGGGGATTATTCCCCTTCCATTCCTCTCCAGAGAAGGGCCCAACAAATTCTGAGTCCCAGAACTAGTGGAATTAGCCGGGATCTCTGGTGAGAGGGAGAATTATTATTATTATTATTCTCAAAGTTTCCGCTCTGCTCTTTGGCCAGATCCTCCAGGGAGACTTTGGGCAGAGACAGATGGAACCAGCTGCAGTTCTCTGCTTCTCTCTCTGACCCGGGAGGCCCAAAATGGAAATCTTTCCTGGGGGAGAACTTGGCTTTAGGCAAAAAGCCCCACTGGGAGATTTCAGACTTGGGACTTCCCTCCCCACTCAGGATTAGGGCTGTCTGTCTTCCTTCACACCAAAGTGGGCCACCCTGGGGGAAATAAGAGCTGAATGCCAATGCAGCCATGTTGCTGCCTGCTGGGGTCACCCCCCCAAAGACCCCCCCTTTTCCATCTCCTTTCCCCAAATGTGAGCTCTTTCTTCAGCCCCTCCTTGACTTCCTTGTGCCCCCACCAAGCCCCTCTTTAATGTACAGAAGTGTTGGGGGTCCTGCGGCCTTCCAGATGTGGCTGGGTAACATCTTCCCCTCTGGCTGGAAGCCTCTCCCCCTTCGATCCTGCCCCAAGGGGACCCTGCAGTGCTTGGGCCTGATCCTCAGGCCTGCCGGAAGTGGACTCCATTTTCAATACTCCGACAAGTCCTTGTAGAAATGGCGGCTGCTTTTGGAGCTTCCCACCCTGATCCTCAGGCTGTTGGGAGACTGCAAAGCTCTCCTGGCTCTTGCTGGGCTTGGGAAACCAGACCCTGCATGACGATGGGGCAGCTTCAGATGAGCTTCCTCAAACCTTTCCCTGGCTTTGACCCCCCCTCACTCCCCCAAACCCCACATTTCTTCAATAAAGAACACAAAAAAGCTGGAAGAGACAAACTTTTTGCACTGCCCCGTCCCCCGAATTAGGTGCTAAAACTAAATTCCCCACCTCTGGCCTCAAATCTCTATCCCCATTAAGACTTTGCTAGATATACTGCATGCCTGAAATAGAAGAGCAGAGCTGAAAGGGACCTTGGAGGTCTTCTAGTCTAACCCCCAGCTTAAAGAGGAAACCTCACCATTTACTCTTTCAGACAAATGGTTGTCCAGTCTCTCCTTAAAAACCTCCAGTGTTGAAGCACCCACAACTTCTGGAGGCATGTTGTTTTGCTGATTATTTTGTCAGGAAATTTCTCCTTAGTTCTAGGTTAGTTCAAAATCTGTAAGTTACTTATTTTGACCCTAGAGAGTCAAAGAATGG